GCGAATGTCACGGAACGAGCATCTCAGGCATCTTCCTTTGAAAAGGGTCTTTCAAGGACAGTACCGGACGATACAAGTGTGCTGGTATTGCGCCCCAGCCCATTTGTAAGAGATTGGATTATACACCTGCTACCTAGAACGTATGCTATAAATAGTTTAGCATAGACACAGGAGAGTTCGATACTCGAGTGAACCTGATGGATGGATGTTCAGGATACCCCAATGAGATGATCGACATATGGGTCAGTTTCCAACAAATGTGTTCGAAAAGCCAAGATGGTCGATGTATCCCAAGACATGGGACGACATCACGATGTATGGATCATGTTGTTGGGAACCAAGTTAATAATAAAATGCGACGTGATTGTGTTGCACACGATTGAGCATGCACGCACGAATGTCGTGTGTGGCTGAACAAGCTTGAATTCAACAATTAATTCCTACACAAAGTTTATTCCAAATGTTCCCACGAATCTAACCAAACAAGAATCATAAGTTTTGGTTCACCATAGAGTAGAAATTCGAGCGTGAAAGTTACATTCTTACCCATGGTTCTGATCTCTTTAGTTGTGGTTTCTTGGTCCTTTTCAAAAATTGTCTCAACAAACTCATCAATCACCCTTCCCTCCCTGAACATCAATTTTGTGGATGATATTCGGAAATTCTTCCACTAAGTTATTAAAACATGACCCAAATAATTACTACACTAACACAAAAAAAAAAAAAAAATTTATTGTGTGTTGGCTTAGTTAGCTTGTATTGATCCGTTAACGACAATTATTTTCATCCACACAGATTGACGTTAAATTTAAATAATTGGAAGAGTGAATTTAAAATGTACTAAGTAATTATATTTTATTTTAAAAAATTGTTCCATATAAGTAAACAAGTCATATCAAGTGACTTAGGAAGGTAGTATTGTCCAAAGTTATTAAATTGTAACTAAGTTTAGCATTTTTTAATTTTGTTTTTTTTTTTTTAAGTTACATTTGTTTATATTTTAAAAAGAATTTTAATAGATTTATAACTTTTTCTTTTTTTTACTATACATTTGTAAAATTAAATGAATAAAAAAAATCTAAGTTTTTGAAAACACAATGGAACGTACTAAATTCAGAATGACTTTTCTTTCTGTTATTTCACTACGATTGAAATATTTGATCAACACACTTTGAATTTCGAGGTATTGAAAGATCGGGAATAACTCAAACATACTATGCAATACATGAAAATGAAAAAAAACTTGTAATAAAAAATGAAAGAACATGAAGGGATGGACCACCAAGCAATCGAAATTCCGAGATGCGGTTGGGTAGGATTAGACTCAAGTAACTAGATTTATGAAAATCACAGATTCTAAACTTGATTTCACACGTAAATGCATATATTATTTATTGGAAGGCTAAACAAATCCGTTCACGCAAATAAAAACTTTAAAACACATAAATTATAAAACAAAAATTAAAGTTGGAAACACTATTTCAATTTTTATTTTTCATGGTTAGAGATGATAGCTTGTTGTTTTTACAAAGTGGACCGTCGTTTTTTCTTTGGCACCGTAAGAATAATATCATGAAAAGACGAAAACTAAAAATTTGAAAATATTTTGTTACTCAACGTTTTATTTTATATCGATTTAATCTAAAAAAGAATGACCATTTTTTATTCATAATATTTTCTTCTTGTTCTTCAGATCTTTCTAAATTTCGATGTCTTTCCTTGATTTTCGTCCATGGCTATTAGCCTTAGTCTATGTCGTATAGAAACCATCATCATATCTTCCATCGAGACTGCTTGCGCATCAGAGCTAAGATTCCATACAGTTAAACAAAGAAGAAGCGAAATAAGAAAGAGAAGAAGGCGGTAGATCGAGAGTCTTTTCGGGCAATGAAAGCGATAGGGCAAGTGAAACGAGATTTGTCAGGCTTGGGTAACATCTGCTCCAAAAAATGTGCCTGAAAAAAGTACCATCCCGCCTTCTTGAAAACAAATGATTTTCAAAGTTGCAACAAACCACAAACCGATGTTACAAAAAAACTCACTTACAATCAGCTTCTTGTGAAGCTACTGTTGATCTTACTTAGAAGTCGATTGCTCTCACTACTGATGTTATTTCTAGAATTGCTTTTGGGAAGTTGTTTAAAGTGGATGGATTTAATGAAATTGTGTGTGAAGTTGAGGTCCTGCTGGGAAGCTACCGTGCTTCTGAGTTTTTTCCTATTCCTTTTGTGGGGAAGGTAGTTGATTGGTTTAGTGGCCGAAAAGCTAGACTCGAGAGGGTTTTTAATGAGATGAATGTTCTGTTCCAAGAGGTGATTGATGAACATCTTCAGCAAGGCCTAAGCCAAAGCAAGATGATATCATTAATGTGCTTTTAGCAATCACTAAAAAAGCAGGTTGAATCTTGCACCGTTGTCATTACACATGAAAGCATCAAAGTCTAAATCAATGAAGAAAGCTCAAAAACAAATCAAAAATCATAGACACTAAGAATAGATCCACCCATGCCCCTTCTTATTCCGAGAGAAACCATTTCCCATTTCAAAATTGAAGGCTATGATTTTTACCCGAAAAATGATGGTTCAAGTGAACGTTTGGGCAATTGGACGAGACCTCACGTATTGGAAAGACCCAGAAGAGTTCTTTCCAATGAGATTTGCAGAGAGCTCGATTGATTACAAAGTACAACACTTTGAGTTCTTGCTGTTTGGGCTGGTCGAAGGATGTGCCTAGGGTTGAATATGGAGGTGAAAACCGTGGAGATGGCTTTAGCGAATCTTTTGTTCCATTTTGATTGGAAGTTGCCGAATGGGATGAAGGAGGAGGACTTGGACATGGAAGAGAATTCGGGTTTGAGTCTCACCCTCCACAAAAAGTTGCCTCTCAAACTTGTACCAACTTTATATCATCCATGAGTGTTACGTTTGAACTGGAGTTCTCTAATTGTAAAGTCTACAAAAAAATGGCTCTTACACGTCTCATTTATGCTTGTAATTATGAAGATGATGTGATCTAGTATAATGTGATGTTGTTATATTACGATATGATGACATAATGATGATGATAATGATGACATGATGATTAAGATGCATGATAATGATATGACTCAATATGATGAGATTTTTATGGTAATGTGTATATACGAGATGTCATGATGCATTATATTGAAGAGTTTGAAACATAAAATAAAATTCAAAATATAAATTTCAAAAAGGATATTTATTATAAACTTATATTATTATAATATTTATAAATGGATGAAATTTTAAAAGGAGAAAAAAATCATCCAAAAAAACTCTAGAAATAAATTACAAGGATATGGAAATAGTAATAAATGGAAATAACAATAAATGGAAAGATGCCTATGATAATAAGACAAATATTAGATATTTGCCTTATAATAAAATATCAAATATAATATATATTCTAAACATAAATTTTTTATAATGTTTTTTTGTACGTCGTGACCGCCCATGTTATTAGAAGTCTGAGACTTTTTATAGCATTTTTTAACGCTATAAAATAGTATTCATAGCTTCAATCTTATGCTATAAGCATGTTATTTGATCATTTTATTATTTAAGTATCATTTCATTAATTATATTTCGATAAAAAAATTATTCAAGTATTCATTTTTAACTAAATTCACACTCGTGTAGTACTACACGATAAATACCATAACTTCCATTCACAATTAAAATTTCATCATCTATTTACATTATAAAATAAGTATTAAGTAATTTCATAGAATAAAAAAGTTATTTAAACAATACTAAATAAAGTAATTTCCATTATTTACATTGATGTTCGATGTTCGATGTTCGAGGCCACTATCGTATCATGTATAAAGAAAGTGTAATAGAAAATGAATGTAGTAGAAAATGAAAGAACAAGAAGGGATAGACTACATTTCAAATCAAATGCATTGAGACAAAAATCATTGAAGACGATTTTTGTCGTTTATTAGTCTGTTCTATTACAACTTTTATCATTCTTTCGCTCTATGTGCACCACTTAGCAATCAAAATTTTGGGTTGAATAGGACTAGACCTGATTAACTAGGTCTATGGAAATCTACCCCAATGCTAAACAAATGTGCCCACAAAATTAAATTTTAATGCAAGTGTTGGATGATGAAAGTCCCACATCGGTTAATTTAGGGAATGGTCATGAGTTTATAATCTAAGAATACACTCTTCATTGGTGTGAGGCCTTTTGGGAAAGCTCAACGCAAAGCCATGAGAGCTTACACTCAAAGTGGACAATATCATACCATTGTGGAGAGTCGTGTTCGTCTAACAACAAGTAGTTATTTTCCACAGTTGAGAGATGATAGCTAGTTGTTTTAGTCTATTTAATCGGAACAAGAATGGCCATTTTTTATTCATAAACATTGTCCTCTTTCTAAATTCCAATGTCTTTGCTTCATTTCCCTCCATGGCTTCCCCTCATCTTCTTCTTCTCTTTACTTTTCATCATCCTCAAAGAGAGCAGCTGCAAATAGAAAGAAGGGTAATATTCCCCCAAGCCCACCAAAGTTTCCAAACATAGGAAACTTGCACCAACTTGGCAAGCTCCCACATAGATCCCCAAGGCACCTCTCTCAGCTTTACGGTCCCATTATCAGCCTCAATCTCGGGGAGTATGGAAACCATCGTCATATCATCTACCGAGACTACTCGAGCCCTCTTGAAAATCCATGATCTTCAAAGTTGTAGCAGACCACAAACCGAAGCTTTCAAAAAAACTCACCTATAATTTTCTTGACATTGCGTTTTCACTTTATAGGGATTATTGGCAAGAGATACCTAAAATTTGTATTCATGAAATTTTCGGTATGAAGAGAGTGATATCTTACAAACCCATTAGAGAACAAGAAGTTCGTTTGTTTATTGAATCGATTTCTCAGTCAGCTTCTTGTGGAGTTATTGTTGATCTCACTGAGAAGTCCACTGCTTTCACTACTTGTGTTATTTTTAGAATTTCTTTTGTGAGTGAAGCTGAGGCCCTATTGGGATGCTACAGTGCTTTTGAGTTTTTTCCTGTTCCTTTTGTGGGGAAGGTAATTGATTGGTTTAGTGGCCGAGAAGCTAGACTTGAGAAGGTTTTTAATTAGATAAATGTTCTGTTTCAAAAAGTAATCGATGAGCATCTTCTTCCTACGAAGCCTAAGCCAAAACAAGATGATATAAGTAAAAAACAAGTTAAATATCTCCCTCTTGTCATTACCCATGAAAACATCAAAGCTACTTATCTCTATTATTGAATGGTTTTATACTAAATTTTTAGTTTAGTTTCTAAATTTTCAATCTCGTGTTAACTATGTGTTTTTATTGAGCCTCATTTGCTTTGTCTACATTATCTATCTTCTGACATTTTTTATTGTATAATGTACATCAAAAGAACATATTTTTAAGCAGGAATAGAGACTAGTTCAATTACATTAGCCTGGAGAATAGCAAAACTCGTGAAGAACCTAATATTAATGAAGAAAGCTCAGGAAGAAATCAGAAATCACGTGAGAAACAAAGGAAAGGAAGCAGAGAGTGACTTAGAAGAGCTTCCATATCTGAAAATGATAGTGAAAGAGACATTAAGACTACATCCACTGGCACCTCTTTTTGTTCCAAGAGAAACCATTTCTCATTTCAAAATTGAAGGCTACGATTTTTACCCAAAGACGATTGTCCAAGTAAATATTTGGGCAACTGTGCGAGACCTCACATGTTAGAAAGATCCAGAAGAGTTTCTTCCAGAGAGATTTGCAAAGAGCTCGATTGATTACGAAGGACAACATTTTGAGTTCTTGTCGTTTGAGGCTAATCAGAGGATATGCCCGGAGTTGAATATGGGGGTGAAAAATGTGGAGTTGGCTTTAGCAAATCTTTTGTACCATTTTGGAAGTTGCTCAATGGGATGAAAATGGAGGACTTGAACATGGAAGAGAAGTCGGGTTTGAGTCTTACCATCCACAAAAAGTTGCCTCTCGAGCTTGTACCAATTTCATACCATCTACGAAAACTTCGAACTTTATTGAATCAACCGTCTTATTAAGTTTAAAGTTGAGTACTCTAATTGTCAAGTCTTATGACTTTTGTCTAAACTAACAACTGGTATGTGTTCAAGAAAGTCAGGGCTACATCTTAAATTACTTTTTGAAGGAAAATGAGGGTTAGAATTTGAATAGAGGACAACAACATCGAATGATAATCTTCTAAGAAACTTATAATTTTGAGCTTCAATTTCTTGGCATAAAGAAACTTTGAAGAAGGAATCGTGAGGAGATAAAGAACGTAGAAAGAGAATCGAGCTTACAAAATAATAGGAGGTTGAAATACCTATTTATACCTTGATTGATGTATTGGTGACCCACTAGCACTAAGTAGTAAGTACGTAAGGAGACATAGGGAGAGCGAGAGGTTACGTATTGTGAGTGACTACTCCCCCATACCTGTTAGACTTCTCTAAAGTCCGAGATAGATGAGAGCACTCGACTTCTGCACTAAATGCGTGATGGCTAGATGAACTGTGGAGAATAGAAAGTGAGAAGCTAAGTGCATTTTGAAACTCGACTGTACTACGATAGGTGACTTACACCCATGGAATAGAAATAAGTAAGGTATATGAATCTTAAGAGCGTGAGAGTGCTGGAAAAGAACTCGAGCCATGAAATTAGATGTGATTGAGTATTAAAAAACATTAAATAGAAGAAGTTTCAATGACATCCTGCAAATAGTTTACTAATAGATAGTAGATCACGACCGGTGGAGCTTGCAGCTATAGGGTGAACCCTTAAATCTAGTCGTTCCCTTTTTGTGTTCTTTTATTATTATTTTGATGTAGCTTTCTCAAACTCCTATTATTTTGTAAACTATTTTGATATTGAATGTGTGGATATGTTTTTTTTTTTTGGTACTTATAATACTTTTTATGAAAGCTTTTGGTTTATGTTCGACTTTAAATTCCCCGTGTTCTTTGTTTATTATGCTCTTCAAGCGGGCGAGTTAGCTCTTCCACCCTCTCCCTCGTTCTAGACGCCCTCACGTTCGCTAGTCTCATTGATTTCATTAGTTGCATCTCTAGTTGTTGCAACAACATTTGTTGCTCTTATTTCAATTTGAGTTTTTTCAAGTTCATGTTTAAGAGTCGAGATATGTTAATGTCAAAATGAAGAGGTTAATATACACCGACAAAGGTTGCATATTCATTACGAGAAACATATCAACCTAAGAATATAGCATGATTATTCAGAACCAGTGTTTTGTTGTGTTTAGTGGAAAATAACAATTTCAAAATGTATCTCTTACTTATATATCAATAGATACTTCCCTTAACTGTCTATGGTGGGATTTTAATAATATTATTTTCGAACAAAGTATACTATTGAGTCTCATCGAATTAGGCTCACGACTTCTTTGTTAAACACTTGATAATTCTAAGCTAAGGTAAGATAAGGGAATTTATTCGTTCGACTTGAAGATTCTATTGATATAGCCAAGTTAAAATAAGAGCATGACTCTAATATGATACTGTACACATTGAACATAACCTTTGATGTGTTTTTTTTTTTTTTTTCCAAAAAAAAAAAATGGTCTTATACCAATGAAAAAGTTTCCCTTGTCTACCTATGGTTTTTCTCTTGACTACCTAATGTAGGACTCGTAACTAAATTCTCCCTATTTTCTCTACTTATGTTTATTTATAATCTTGGAGCTTCTATGGAAGACACTTGGCCAAACATTGATACTAGGATGTCATAAATGAACACTATCATGAATGTGTCTAGACCGTCCTTAAATATCTGGTTCATTAGCTTCATGAACACAGCTGGGACATTAGTGAGGTCAAATGACGTTACTAAGAATTCGTAGTGACCTACCTTTTTCTAAATGATGTATGGTACGTCTTTTTCATTGATCCTAATTTGGTGGTAACCGGATCAGAGGTCTATCTTAGAAAATATCGTTGTCTCTCTGAATTGATTGAATATGTCCTCTATTCTAGGCAAAGGATATTTTGTTATCTTTATGGTTCACTTATTTATCTCTTTGTAATTGATGCACAGACGCATCGATTCATCTTTCTTCTTAACAAACAACACTAGTGCACCCCATCGGGATATGCTAGGTCGAACAAACCCTTTGTCTAACAAGTCTTATAACTGCGCCTTGAGTTCCTTCAACTCTGCTGGTACCATACATTAGGGTGCTTTGGAAATAGGCCCAGTTTCTGGCTCGATTTCGATGACGAGGTCGACTGCTCAGGAAGGGGGTATTCCAGGTAAGTCGTCCGAAAATACATCTAGGAACTCGTTTACTATTGGCACAGTTTCTAAGGTCTTTTCTTTTCCTCTTACGTCAACGGCACATGCTAATATAATTCAACCGCCTTGTTGAACTAATCTCTTTTCTTTCCTCAACGAGACTACCTTTGGGGTAGTTCCGGTACTTGTGCCTTTAAATTTAAAGTTAGGTCTCACTAGTGGTAAGAATATCACTTTTTTTTTTTTTTTTTTTTGCGACAGTCTATACTAGCAAGGTTTGCAGCTAGTCAATCCATGCCTAGTATACGTCGAAATTGGTCATCTTTACAACTATTAGGTCTACGCTAGAGTTTGGTCGGCTACTATTGCTTGGTCATTCTTTACTCTATCCTTAATTACTAGGTCTACCCTCGCAAGAGTGCTTGCCGACCATACATGCAATAAGGTTTCTAATTCAAACCCTGTCTCTGATCCCGCTCGAGGTGAGCTTTCTTCAGTCTCACCTCGTCCTCTACCTCTAATAGGAGGTCGTCCCCTTCCTCGTCTTACTCTTTCGCGTGGTCTAGGCAGTATAGTTCTAGAAACCAAGATAACATCTCTTAAGTCTGCTCATTACTAATGAAATTATGTTATACATCAAATATACTAGGTTCACATCATATTGCAAACAAAATCACTGAGCATGTTACACATCACAACATACTCTTAAATAAATACGTGAAATATCACAACAATTTCAGTAATATTAACATAAAAATGCATGTGAGTTCAAAAATATTTCTCTTTTCTTATCTTTTGCAAGGTGTACCTGATGGTGACAGGATATCGACGTTGGGACCATGGAACGTGTCAAGTCTACATCGTAGGCTAGTCTACAAAATCTAAAACCTAGAGCTCTGATATCAACTGTAACGACCCTAAATTTCCACATACTCAGAGTCACTACTAACGTCTCATGCTCATCTATAATGTGGAAATATAACTCTTACATGAACATCATTTATAACGTAGACTTCGAAAAGTGCTTAAAACAACCTCTTCTCTGAAAAACACAGTCATGGTCTTATGTGTTTAAATACGAAATACTGAAATTTAGAGAAAATAAAAACAATACAAAATAATTTAAAACAACGAAATGCAAAACAACCTATACTAACCTAAGACTAGGAATTTAAATATGAGTCTACACTATGCACGTGGCACAATCTCTGTTCGTGATGTCGCCGTCCTCCATACAAGTGCGCATTGCCTTTACCTGAAAAATGATGTGGCACACAGCCTAAGTATTTCGAAGAATACCAGTAAGTGGTCCCACTATAGGGGGTCATGCAAATACAAACACACGCAATCATGATTTAGGGACCTATCTCTAACATCGTAAGGGTGGCCTCTAGTTGTTGGCTTTTTCGCCTTAATCTCAAATTAATTAATTAATTGATGTTTTGATGATAACAAACCTACATTCAATTATTAACAATTCTCAGTATTTTTGTCCACAGTGTAAGGTTAGGAATAACGATTTCAACGTCTTTTTTGGTTCACTCAAATTAGAGATAAAACGAAGAAGTTCCAGTCAAAACAAATGCCCGACGTGATGATGTGGTGGCAAAATTGACATCATGGACTAATCAAATTCATAACAAGATACCTGACGTGATGATATGGTGACAAAATTGATGATGTGGTGACAAAATTGACATCATGAACCAGCGGCAAAATTGACATCATAGACCAATCGAAGTATGACATTTATAAATTTGGTAGAATAACAAATGGTGGAGTTGAAGTATGACATTTATAAATTTAGTAGAGTAACAAATGGTGGAGTTTTCAATTATATTTATAAAAGTTTTTCACTCAATTACATTTATAAAAGTTATTGGTTACTTTTAAATGGAAAGAAATTATAATGATTTCATTTACATTTATGAAAACTAGTTTTGAAAAAGAAAATTATTGGAATTACAAAATCATTTCAATTACATTTATAATGATTTCAATTAAATTTATAAAACTTTTCAATTTTAAACTTTTAAAATGTTACTCATATTTTCATTAACATTTTTTTATATTATTATATTTCAAAATATATATATATATATATATAAATTTAAATGAAACATGTGGTCTATAATTTTTTATGAAAAATTTAAAAATAAATAAATATTATTTTTGTGATCTAGGTTTCGGTTCATGTTTTAGTAGTCCGCATCAATTCCTATTTTTACAACTTGATCGCTATTTAAACTCATATCTTTTCATATTTTTCACAATGCAACACAACACACAGAATATTTGTTTCCTCGATCTAAATTTTTTTAAAGTTATTTAAACTCATCACCTCTTCATATTTTTCACAACACACAGAACATTTGTTTCCTCGATCTAAATTTTTTTAAAAAATCTCCATTGTTGCTCCCTCTAAAGTTTCCAATTCTATTTCTTTTATTTATCTTATTTTGAGAGAGATGATTCTTTTATTTATCTTATTCCTCAGAGAGATGTCAATTACTTCAGAGTGTTGTCTCCAAAGTTTCCAATTCTATTTCTTTTTTTATCTTATTCATGAGAAAGATGTCTATTACTCTTTTATTTATCTTATTCCTGAGAGAGATGTCTATTACTTTAGAGTGTTGTCTCCAAAGCTTCCAATTCTTTTTTTTTTTTTTTTTATCTTATTCATGAGAGAGATGTCTATTATTTCAGAGTCTTGTCTCCAAAGCTTCCAATTCTATTTCTTTTTTTTTTTATCTTATTCATGAGAGAGATGTTTATTACTTTAGAGGGTTGTCTCCAAAGCTTCCAATTCTATTTCTTTTTTGTATCTTATTCATGAGAGATGTCTATTACTTCAAAGTGTTGTGGTGTGTTTCTATAAGATTTCAGACAATTGCACTAGTTTGATCCTGAGCCGTGGAAGAATTGAGTTTGCTCTTGAACTTGTAAAAAGAGTGGTATACCGGTTTGATCCTGAGCCGTGGAAAGGATTGAGTTTGCTCTTGCACTCGTAAAAAGAGCGGTGTAGCGGTTGGGCTCTAATCCGAGGAAAGAGTCAAAAAGTTTTATTCAAATTCCCAAGAGGTGCTTGGGGAGTGGAGTAGGTCGAGTTTGACTGAATCACTGTAAAACTACGTGTTATATTTTCTAACCATTTCCCTATTTAAATTCTAAATTTTAAGTTTTATTGCATGTATAATTTTTATTGTTATTAGAAAAAAAATTAATAATTACATCGTTGAAACCTTATTCACCCCCTCTAGGGTTGTCATATCGATCCAACAATTGGTATCATGCTCTTATTAATTTTTTTATAAACTTTATTTTTAGAGATTATGGCGAATCTACGTGTTAAAAATGGTTTTTGTGAAGGACAATCAACCTCTAGACCTCCTTATTTTGATGGAACAAATTCTAAGTATTGGAACTAGAATGAAAATTTATTTGCAATCAATTGATTATGAATTATGTTTGAATGTGAGTAAAGGTTCTTTCATTTCAATAAAAATGGTTAATAACATTGAGGAGCTTAAATTAGAGAATGAATTTGATGAACATGATTTTGACACGCGGCGTCGTGATTTTGACACGCTCAGCTTGTGGCTCCATCGGAGCTTAGGCGAGGTTTGTCTTTGTCAATCGAACATCGCTTATGAAGAATCCAAGCTTGTTGACCACACACACCACATGCGCATGCATGTTCAATCGTCTTTATACTAGGTTAAGTCATCCTATTCAACCTTGCTTCTGTGTAGGGCCAAGGTCTCTCAATGCAATGTCGCATCTCATCTTGTCATCTTGTCATCTTGATACATGGCTCATATATCTTGACGTCATCCTAAGTCTCGGGATGTCGTTGGTCATCACAACTCACTTGGTCATACCATCAAGGACTGACTCATGTGTCGCTCATCTTATCGGGATGTCTCAAACATGTTTACACTAATAAACACTTTAAAATTATAACAATTTTTGTTTCCAAAGGATGGTAGCATGTTGCTTTCATGGAGTTGGTTCTCATTTTGATATCATGAAATATCGACCAATCATATTTCCATTCAAAATAATTATTCAATTTAAAAACATTTCATTATTTGCTTCAAATAACATATAGGACGTTTTATTTCATGTCTATTTAATCAAAAGAAGAATTCACCATTCTTTATTGTGATTTTTTTCCTCTTGTTCTTGATGTCTTTCCTTCCTTTCCCTTCCATGGCTTCCCCTCATCCTCTTCCTCTCTGCACTTTTCATCATCCTAAAATGGAAAGCCACAACAAATAGAAGAAAGCGTAATTTTCCCCTAAGCCCACCAAAGCTTCCAATCATTGGAAACTTGCATCAACTTGGCAAGTTCCCACACAAATCCCTATGGCGCCTCTCTCAGCTTTACGGTCCCATTATGAGTCTCAGTCTCGGTGGTATAGAAACTACCATCATATCTTCTGTCGAGACTGCTCGAGCCTTCTTGAAAACTCATGATCTTCAAAGTTGTAGCTGACCACAAACCCAAACTTTCAAGAAAATCACTTACAACTTTCTTGACATTGTGTTTTCACCTTATAGTGATTACTGGCGAGAGATGCGTAAAATTTATACTCTTGAGCTTTTCAGTATGAAGAGGGTGATATCTTATGAATCTGTTCGAGTGCAAGAAGTTGGTTTGCTTATTGAATCGATTTCAAAATTGGCTTCTTGTGGAGCTATTGTTGATCTTACTCGTAAGTCATTTGCTCTCACGACTGCCACTACTTTTAGAATTGCTTTTGGGAAGGAGTTTGAAGGGGATGGATTTCATGAAGTTGTGAGTGAAGTTCAGGCCTGGTTGGGAAGCTATAATGCTTCTGAATTCTTTCTTGTTCCTTTTGTGGGGAAGGTCTTTGATTGGTTAAGTGGACAAGAAGCTAGACTTGAGAGGGTTTTTAATGAGATTGATTCTCTATTTCAAGAGGTGATTGATGAACATCTTCGTCCCGAGAGGCCTAAACCAGAGCAAGATGATATCATTGATGTGCTTTTGGCTATTAGTAAAAAACAAGTTGAATCTTCCATTACTGTCATTACTCGTGAAAACATCAAAGCCATTTTCGTAAGCAATTTCCATCCCTAATCTTTTATGGGTTTTGCGCTATATGATTAGTTTAGTTTCCAACGTGTTCTATTGTATAATGTACATCAACCGAACATATTTTTGGGAGGATTAGACTCGGGTCAATTACACTGTTTGGGCAATGGCAGAACTCGTAAAGAACTCAAAATTGATGAAGAAAGCTCAAGAAGAAATAAGAAACGACGTGGGAAACAGAAGAAATGTAACAGAGGAAGACATAGAAGAGCTTTCATATCTAAAAATGATAATGAAAGAGAGCTAAGACTACACCCACTTGCACCTCTTCTTATTCCAAGAGAAATAATTTTCCATTTCAAAATTGAAGGCTACGACTTTTACCCGAAAACAATGGTTCAAGTGAACATTTGGGCAATTGGACAGACCCCACATACCGGAAAGACCCAGAGTTCCTTCCTGAGAGATTTGCAGAGAACTTAATTGATTACCAAGGACAACACTTTGAGTTCTTGCACCAAAGTTCCTTCCTAAGAGATTTGCAAATAACTTAATTAATTATAGAGGACAACACTTAGAGAGATTGCCCCAGGTTGAATTTGGGGTGAAGATTGTAGAGCTAGCTTGGCGAATCTTTTGTACCATTTTAATTGGAAGTCACCGTAGGGGATGAAGGAGGACTTGGACATGGAAGAGACTTCGGGTTTCAGTATCACCATCTTCAAAAAGATGCCTCTAAACTCGTACCAATTTCATATCATCCATGAGTAAGGTTCCAAGCCAAATCCTCTTATTGTGAAGTTTTATGGCTTTCGTCTACACAAATAATGGGTGTATTTATACGTAATATAATGCTTAAACCAACTGTTTCTTAAAAACAATCAATCAGCCCTGAGAATTCAATGAAAAAGAAGCTACGTTATGTATATCTCTAATCTTCTAACATTTCATTTCACAATAAATACAAAAACTAAACACAAACCCATCCACCCAAAAAGAGGGGGGGAAAAAAGAATCAGAGAAGTGGCTCAGAAAGTTCCATCTCGTTTGAACTCTCTTCTTGTGTTTCCGAGCTACGAGAACCAACGAAGTCGAGTCCAAGCCACTGCCACGGCCAGCAAACGTATCTATGTCCATTTAATCCTCTTCTCGAACCTTCCCGGAAATCGAGCTCTTCGAGCTGACGAGTAAGATCTTCCACCCTCTCCCTCAACCTAGACGCCCTCACGTCGGCTAGCCTCAGTGATTTCTCAGCTGCATCTCTGGCTGCCATAGCTGCATTTGCTGTCTCTTCTTTCATCTTGAGTTTTTTGTCTAAATCCAAAATCCCCAGCCTTGCTTCTTCAAGTTCCTGTTTAACCGCCGAGATCTGCCAATGCCAGATTGAAGACGTTTAAACAAAGTACACTTACAAAGTATGCTGATTTGTTCCGAGAAACAAATGAACCTAAGAATATTGCATCATAACCCTGAACAAAGTAATCCCTATGCATATGAAGAACTTTTTTCGTAACTAAAAAATTTATAAACCCGGACAACAATATAATTGTTTCTATAAATATTTGTACTGAAATTGACAACCAGATTCATTCGACTCAACCTTAAACCTTTTCATTCTTTCATCTTTATCACATCATGGGTGTTTACACGAGAATCCCACAGGCTCGCTCCATCAGCTCATTCAAGGTGAGCTGGCATTTTGTACTCTCCATTCCTAATTCCTAATTCCTAATTCCTAGTTCCTAGCCATTCTGAGTTGCATTTGGATATGTATTTAGCTGGAAATACCATCTTCTCCACTAATCATGATTACAAATTAGAATGCCTAAACTAAACCAAGTTGATAGGTCGACACCACGCATCGTACAAGATGAGAAGAATACTAGCTAATAACTATCTCATCAAGGTCAAATGAATACCATCACGTCGGATTGTTCGATTGTTTTTGTAAACTTGCCCCTTGGGCTGCACAGCCAGAACAACTGATGTATCTTAACAGCATTCACATGTCTTAACATATTGAACTAAAAGATTTTTTTTACACTTAGAAACTATTTCCTTCGATACCCAAACTATTTGCTTACCCCACCTTCCCTAGAAATACAACAAATTAATTGTTCATCAAATTACCACACCCATCACCGTTTATAATTATATTTCAAAAAGAAAACGTTGATCTTCAATGTTCTTACTTTTACAAGCCATAGCAAAACACAGAGAGATATGAAAGATCGGCTCAAAGGAGCATATCTAGTGAAGTTAGTAGATAGCATACCTGTGCCAGAAACTCTTGTTCAACAGCTTTGCCAGCAGCAGCTTCCTGCTCTGCAGCTAGCTTCCATCTCATGATTTCTTCTTCCGCGGCTGTAATGTCCATCATTAACCCTTCAACCTAAATCATGGGAATGAAAATTATAGAAAACAGATTACTAGTGTAATTCTATAATCTTCATTATCAACATTGAGCAATTACATACACTTTCATTGGCAATTCTCTCCTTCTCTTCAAGTTCCTTAATTTGAAGTGATCTAAGTTTAAGCTCCTTGGATTGGGATTCAAGGTGCTCTTTAAGTACAACCGACTCTGCCCTTAAGCCATCAAGGTAAAAAATAAAAGGAAATTACAAGTCAGAATGTGCAAAATTCTATACGCACATATAATTCTGTAAACATTAATGTGTCTGCCTAGTTCCCAGTATATAATATAGACCACAGATGCGAAGTTTAGTTCAAATCTCTTAATCAATGTAACGGCCCAAGCCCACCACTAACAGATATTGTCCTCTTTGGGCTTTCCCCTCCGAGCTTTTCCTCAAGGTGTTAAAATGCGTCTGCTGGGAGAGGTTTGCACAGCCTTATAAAAGTTTTCATCCCCCCTTCGAGGCCCAGCATTCTCGCTGGCATTCTTTCCCTTCTCCAATCAATGTGGGACCCCCCAATCGAAACACGCACAAATCGAGAAATGGTATCCGAGCCAGAAACCGAGTGATGTGCCAACGAGGAGGTTGAGCCCTGAAGGGGGTGGACACTAGGTAATGTGCCAACAACAACGTTGGGCCCCAAAGGGGGTGGATTGGGGGATCCCACATCGATTGGAAAATGGAACGAAAGCGATGACGTTGAGCCCCGAAGAGGAGTGGATTGTGAGATCCCACATCGGTTTGGGAGGAGAACGAGACATTCTTTATAAGAGTGTTGAAACCTCTCCCTAACAGACGTGTTTTAAAACCTTGAGGGGAAGCCCGAAAGGAAAAACCCAAAGAGGCTAATATCTACTAGCGGTGGGCTTAGGCCATTACAATCAACGACTCAAAGATGGCTCTATATGTGTATATTCATAAACGTAATACTCATACCTTAATTCCTCCAAGGAATGCCGTAACTCAATGATCTCAATCTGAGACGCCTTCACAATATTCTCCAAAGCACCAGCCTGTATTTTACACGAGAACGTAAAACAAATCAAATACTTATTATCATCTAAGAAAAGACTTATGATAAAACAAAGCTCAAATGCGCTTACCAGAGTGAATATTTCGTCGTCCTCCTCTGCATCTAGAGCTTTCCCATTGTCCCGGGAAGTCGGGAACTTCTCGTCTCCAAGAAGCTTGCTAAATTTGAAATCAATGCCAGCCTCTCTTAAACCATTTTCTGCAACTTCAAACAATTGATTTGCTTTCGAAGAAGGATCAGATGTCATCCTCTTCGATAATGCACTCCTCAGTAGATATCCAATATGATCTTTCTCCTTGAGCAACTGGGCAACTGTCTCCTTTAAATTCTTAATTTCACTAATCTTCTCCTCCATTGAACTCCTGATCTTATCCGTGACAAGTTTTTGTAATGCATAAATAGACTCCATTCCAGCCAAAGATGCACGTATATTCTCCTCCATGTCAGTCTCCCGAGGGAGAAACAAAGACTCTGAAAATTCAGAATGGTCCGCATCACTACCATCAACTATCTTAACAATATCATAAATTTGGTCGTGTATTTTTGAAATGAAATTCAACTGTTCAACAAGTAAAGGCCTTTGGGACTCCATTTTTGACTCCAAAATCCTTAACTTATCATCATAATCTTGCGTAAGCTGCCTTAACTCAGAAGCTTCATCCTCAGCCCGGTTTAGTTTACCAGACAGATCTGCTTCAATGTCAGACATCTTTTTATCCTTTTCGGAGATGGTGTTCTCCAGATCTTCGATATCGGAAGTTTTCTTCGAAACCTCCTCCCTCAGCCCGCTAATCGTAGCTTCGAGCTGAGATATCTCAATGGCAATTTCATAATTCCTAAGATCCATTTGTTCCCTGGTTTCGTTCCTCGACTTAGTTGTCGTGTCAATCTGCCTAACAAGCTCTTCAACGATTTCATTCGTTCTCTTGATGACTCCATAGGCAACTGCAGGCAATCCTGTATATTTTTGCGACCTAGGCAACCCACCAGCCGTAAAATTCTTGAAATTGCTCACTTTGGAGGATATCTTATCAATTCCAGTAACTAGCATATGTGATGCATTACCGATTTCCGATCTCAAACCATCCCGTTCCTTTAAGATCTCATCGAGTTGCTTCCCAATCTCATCCCTAAGTCTCGAGACCTCATCTTTCTGCCTATTCGCCTCAGCCAACTCCGCCGAAACCTTTTCATTCAATTTCAACGCTTCTTCCTTCTCCCTCAATGCCTCATCCCGCTGCCTCCCACATTCATCACGCTTCTTAATCGCCTCGTGAGCAAGCGCTTTCAATCGATTAAAAGATACTTGCAACTCCGATTTCGAATTCTCCGCCGCTTCTCGAGCTTTCCGCTCACGATCGCGCTCCGCAAGAATCTCTCTAAACCTCTCGCCAGAGATTTCTTCAGGAGACGTATTCTGAATCACAATAGGCACCGGATCATCACCTTCAACATCGCTGAGCACAGCATCCGCATCTTCATCAACACCACTCGCCATCCAATATACGTCCAATCACTAACCCCAAAAAATTGGGCAAAACTCCATACCCAACCCAATTACACCATCGGAAACTTATACTACTTAGTTCCTTACTCAATTTCAATAATCAAATCCGCTAAACCTCACAATTATGAAAAACAAATAGTCCACAAACGAGAACAAAATAAAAGATCAATCAGTTGGTGTACCCGAAGCTGCAAATGAGAACGGATTTCAATGGCGATTACTTCAGATTAAAGCTTCAAAAACAGATTAGTCGTATGAACAGGGCTTCCCTCTCTACAATTGGATTCAATGGAGAAAGAAAAGAAGAAGACCCAACGACGGAGCGTAGAAGAACAGGACAATTGTTACCATTTACCAACCAGTCTTCCTCCGCAATTGCTTTTTCGATGTATAAATTATTGCCATTATAAATATACGGCACCATAAAGTTATAATTCTGTGTTATGCAACCCACCGTAACTGTGTAATCAGCAGCCCAATGGCTGCCACGTTGCAATGATCAAAACTCACCAGATCACAGCCGTAGAAATGTTTTCTTAAGAATGGAAGCAAGAAAATTCGAATTTTGAATTTAATTTTTCCTATTTAGAATTACTTTTAAATATATATTTTTAATTATTTAAAATTATTTTAATATAAAACTTACGTTTAAAATTGCTAAATCAAATATTAATTTAGTTTTGAATTATTAAAAGTATCGAACAATAAAAATGAATTAAATTGTTTCAAAATCACTATTAAATATCTTATAATTTTATGTGTGTAATAATTATTTAAACCTTTATTTTGTGACTATTAAATTTTAATGATTTTTTTTTTAAATTAATTTTTACAAATTTGAATAATATCAACTCGATGTATTTTATTTGGGGTCAGAACTTCATTTTTGAGCTTGATCATTAATTTAATAGTTTGACAATATGCGTGGATGAGCACAAACAATGCTGGATTTTGCAAACCTAAGATCCTTCTAGAATCCCTGCAAACGTTCACAAAAAAAAAAGTTAACTTAACAGAATTGATTCCAACTAAGAGTTGGTTAGAAGTTAGAATCTATGATGGTCACTCTTAGATTCCAAGATGACTCACTCTAGAATTAGCTTGATCAAAACTAATTCACTGAATCGATTTAAACATCAAACCTAAAACAAGGTTTGAAAAAGAATAACACCAAAAAGGTATCAAAAAAACACGAAGGTTTTGTTTGTATTCAACAATGAATATTACACGCGTTAAAATAGGCCAAAAAAATAACCCAAACATAATGGAGTTCATCTACCACCTACCAACTATCAATAAAAGCTAGTAAATATAAATCGAAGAAAATAAGGCATACATAAATTGTCTTAATTGGTAGTTCAACTACTAAAGACAAAGTCTTCTAATCATTTTTCAATGTCAGTCACTCTATTATTTTCTTGATTTGATATGGTAATACTATAAAGATTTTTGGGCTCAAAAGTCTTTTTTCAACTTGTACACCAGCTAGCCTTTGCAAATGCAATGTATAGGCCTCTTGAATCTGTTGGATGATGAAAGTCCCACATCGGCTAATTTAGGGAATGATCATGGGCTTATAAGTGAGGAATACTAACTCCATTGGTATGAGGTCTTTTGGGGAAGCCCAAAGCAAAGCCATGAGAGCTTATGCTCAAAGTGGACAATATCATACCATTGTGGAGAGTCGTGTTCGTCCAACAACTGGTATCAGAGCCATGCCCTAAACTTAGCCGTGCCAATAGATTGGCAAATCCTCGAATGTCGAACAAATGTCTAAGACTCCAAAGGAGTCGAGCCTCGATTAAGGGGAGGCGTGCTTTGTTCGAGGGGAGGTGTTGGATGATGAAAGTCCCACATCGGCTGATTTAGGGAATGATCATGGGCTTATAAGTGAGGAATACTAACTCCATTGGTATGAGGCCTTTTGGGGAAGCCCAAAGCAAAGCCATGAGAGCGTATGCTCAAAGTGGACAATATCATACCATTGTGGAGAGTCGTGTTCGTCCAATAGAATCTTCTTAACCTTACTTCTTGTAATCGGTCCTTCGGGTATATAAAAAGGGTCATTAGTTGAATTCATATCATGCCTCGAAATATATATATATATATATATATATCAATTTGAATTGTGTCACGTGCGGCTTAGAAAATTCGGGGATGTTGACGAAGTTGGGCTCAGTCCAAAAGAATGAAGAACTTACTTACTCGAGTTAAACCCAAACCCAAGAGGACGTCTAGGTCCATATATAATCATTTGGGTCGAGTAATATCACATTCCAAAATAAATTTCTGGGTCATACTGGTATCTCATACCTCAAAGATGTTCATTTACAGCGAAGATAGGGCATGTGGGGACTTGTCCAAACAGATAGGAGATTTTCCATTTAGACGGAGAATGAGGAAAGGAATGGATAACGTATTTTTCTCGTTAGATAAATGAAGTCACTGACAGAATTATATTCCCTGTCTCCGTCTCTACTTGATTTCTCATCCCGCCCGTTCCCAGACTGCTTAATATAAATATATTTTCAACACATGAGTTAAGAAAACACATACTAGTAGTAGTCGTCGTAACCTTCGTTATAAATCTCTTCACAACCCACATATCCAATTGGGCTACTTACAATAGTAGCGGTTATAATGCAATCCAACCCCAAATGTTCTTCGGCTAACTCCAAAATCAAATCATCCCGCCTTGTGGATTAATAAATAAATCATTACTCAATAATTTTATTTTTTCCCAAAGTCTCTTAAAAAATTTTAAATTATCCTTAAATATATTAAATGTTAAATTTTGTTTATAAAAATTTGTTATATAATTTCATAATTGTTTTTATTAATTTATTTAGATGTGCAGGCATGCAACTCGAAAAATAAATAAATTTTATCCAGAAAAAATATAGTTTTATTAATAATGAGCTAATTACGGATTTTTAATATCTTAAAGTCAAATCTAAAATCTTTAAATCATCGGTGACTAAATACAAAATAGGTTGGGGTTTTTAAAAGAACCCAACACCTCCCCTCGAGCCTCGACTCCTTCGAAGTCTTAGTCATTTGTTTACTGTTCCATGTTGTTCCATGTTAGACGAACACAACTCTCCACAATGGTATGAACGAACACGACTCTCCACAATGGTATGATATTGTCCCCTTTGAGCATAAGAGCTCATGGCTTTGCTTTGGACTTCCCAAAAGGCCTCATACCAATGGAAGACTTTTATCATCCAACACCTCCCCTCGAGCCTCCCCTTAATCGAGGCTCGACTCCGAACAACACCTTCCCTCGAGCCTCCCCTTAATCGAGGCTCGACTCCTTCGGAGTCTTAGCTTTGGACTTCCCAAAAGGCCTCATACCAATGGAATTAGTATTTCTCACTATGTGGTAGTATTTCTCATTATGTGGGACTTTCATCATCCAACACCTCCCCTCGAGCCTCCCCTTAATCGAGGCTCGACTCCTTCGGAGTCTTAGCTTTGGACTTCCCAAAATGCCTCATACCAATGGAATTAGTATTTCTCACTATGTGGGACTTTCATCATCCAACACCTCCCCTCGAGCCTCCCCTTAATCGAGGCTCGACTCCTTCGGAGTCTTAGCTTTGGACNCCCTCGAGCAGGCCTCATACCAATGGAATTAGTATTTCTCACTATGTGGGACTTTCATCATCCAACACCTCCCCTCGAGCCTCCCCTTAATCGAGGCTCAATGCTCCATGTTAGACAAACACGACTATGTGGGACTTTCATCATCCAACACCTCCCCTCGAGCCTCCCCTTAATCGAGGCTCAATGCTCCATGTTAGACAAACACGACTCTCCACAATGGTATGATATTGTTCCCTTTGAGCATAAGGGCTCATGGCTTTGCTTTGGACTTCTCAAAAAGCCTCATACCAATAGAGTTAGTATTTATCACTTATAAACACATGATCATTCCCTAAATTAACCAATGTGGGACTTTCATCATTTTTTCACAACTTTATAAAGAATGTTTCATTCTTCCCAGGTGGGATCTCACGTTAGGTCTAATAAAATAATAAAAGTTTCAATGTTCGTAAATTTAAAAAAAAGTCAAATACATTAAATCCTAGTTGGACAAAAATAAAAAATTTAAGAGCCCATCATCAATCACGAAGTTGAATAAGTCAAACCAGAGCTAGTTCTCGTAAGAATTTCACAGTCCCTAAACCGTCACATGTTAGCTCCGTTGGCCGCGGGTTGGACATCAATGCAAATATTTATGAGATATCATTTAATGTTAAAGTTGAATCTTTCCATTTACAAACACATTATCAATGAACATTTCAATTCGACAATGACCAAAGCTTTAGACGGATGGGTTGTTCTAACGTTTTCCTCTCCCCAAGAACAAACCAGGAAGTTTACCAAGAAAGATCCTCTGCATATCATTATTTGGCGTCTACAAAAGCATCGGCATCTCACTTTCAGATTCAGACTACCAAAAGTGGCCTACGCTTTTGGAAACAAGGAGGAAGTTCATCAACTGGGTTAGTCAACAAGTATGATGATTCCATTTTGTTTTATAATAATCATTTAAGAACATCATCTGCCTTTCTTACGCACTGTTTGCGTGTATAGATTATGAATTGATTATGCAATCGTAGCCGGTTTAACGTTTCGACGAAGACCCAATTTCTCTATTCCTTGGGCCATACTTCGTCCCGATTTTCTTCAATAATTTATAGATTTTGAAACTTAGCCAAGTGATTAAACCTCCTAGATTCATGGTCAATCTCTTGTGATTGATTATCGGATAGGAGACTACAGGAAACTTCTGTACTGTAGAGGTTCCTTGTAGCGTTGGATTTTCGACGGCAGGGTTTATTGAACTGGTCGTAGCTACTATTGCCTTTCTTGGTCTTTTTTTATTCATTTTTCTGCTTGATCTTTGCTGCGATTTCAGAAACAGATATAAATACACGGGTATTAGTATTGGATTTTATGGATGGCTCTGGTTCTTTTAGATCATTTGCTGGTAAAGTTGAAGATCCAAGTTCTTCAGACCCTGATTGTTTTGAAGATCATTGATTCATATGTTCTTCTTTGTTCTTTTGCAGGTGATTAGTTGACTTTTTGTGTGCTGAAGGAATTTGCAGATTTTTGAGCTATGGGAAGTAAGAATTCGAAGGAGACGGATCAAAGAGAGTTTGATTCAGATGGGTTTGGGAATTCTTCAACGTGGGGTTATGACAATTATCCTCCACCTTCGCCGTATGTTCAGCAGTATTCATATCCACAACGCTCTGATTATGGGTCACAAACACCACTACCACAGAGGAGGTTGGATAGGAAATATTCAAGAATTGCTGACCATTACCAATCCTTGGATGAGGTTTGAATCTTTGTCCTGTTTTTTGTCTATAATGTTTGATGTCTCTCTGCCTGTGCTCTGTTTGTGGAAGTGTTTAAGAACTAGGATGTTATCTTGCTGGATAGGAGATCAATGAGCTCCTTGCATTGTAATGATTCTCATTGGGCTGTAAATGGAGAGTTGTGAGATCCCACATTGGTTGGAGAGGGGAACGAAGCATTCCTTATAAGGGTTTTGAAACCTCTTCCTATTAGATGCGTTTTACCGAGAGGTTGACGGTGATATGTAACGGGTTAAAGCGGACAATATCTGCTAGCGGTGAAGTTGGGTTGTTACAAATGGTATTAGAGCCGACAGTGTGCCAATGAGAACGTTGGCCCCCAAGGGGGTGGATTGTGAGATCCCGCATCAGTTGGAGAAGGGAACAAAGCATTCCTTATAAGGGTGTGAAAACTTCTTCCTAGTAGATGGGGTTTAAAACCGCAGAGGTTAACGGCTATACATTATGGGCCAAAGCAGATAATACTTGCTAGCGATGGGCTTGAGCTATTACAAATGGTATCAAAGCCAAGCACCGAGCGGTGTGTCAGTGAGGACGCTGACCCCCAAGGAGGGTGGATTGTGACATCCCACATCGATTAAAGAGAGGAACGAAACATTACTTATAAGGGTGTAGAAACCTCTCCCTAGTAGATGCGTTTCAAAACCATGAGGTTGTTGGCGATACGTAATGGGCCAAAGCGGACAGTATCTACCAGCGGTGGACTTGGGCTATTACAAATGGTATTAGAGTCAGGCACCGGACAATGTGCCAGCGAGGACACTGGGCTCCCAAGGGAGTGGATTGTGAGATCGCACATCAGTTAGAGAGGGAAACAAAACATTCCTTATAAGGGTATGGAAACCTCTCCCTAACAGGGCTGTTACAAAAGTCGGGGCTTTATTTGCTTCATTTTGACCTCCCCATATGAGCTTTGCCTGCATAAACTTGTTAAGTAGGTTCAAGGATTGGTTTAAATTGGGGATTCTGTATGAATTAGTCTAATGATTGAGTTGAGTACAGAAATTGCAGACTCTCTGAGGACAGTCATTGGATCATGGAAACTTATGTACTAGATTTGTTTGACTGGTTAACCTTCTGCTGATACTAACAAATACATATTGGCTTCATTTTGGGCGTTGTTAATGGTGTTTTACAACAGGTGACAGCAGCTCTTGCTCAAGCTGGACTAGAGTCCTCTAATCTCATTGTGGGAATCGATTTCACGAAGAGCAACGAGTGGACAGGTCCATTCTCATCTCATAGCTTCTAGATAAACATATTTACTACTCGTAGTATGCTGATCCCTCTTTCGATATAGGTTCAAGGTCGTTTAATCGACGTAGTTTACACCACATCGGGAACACACAGAACCCATATGAACAAGCCATATCTATTATTGGACAGACCTTATCAGCTTTTGATGAGGACAACATGATTCCATGTTATGGATTTGGAGATGGTAATTGCATTTTAGGCACCATCTCGATTCTTACCATACATTCGTTTAATGGCGAATTGACAATTGAACTGCAATCTTTGCAGCATCTACACATGATCAAAATGTCTTTAGCTTTTACGACAATGACAGGATCTGTAATGGATTTGAGGAAGTTTTGCATCGTTACAAAGAAATCGTCCCCAACTTACGACTTGCAGGTGATCGTTTTCTTGTTTCGATTAATGCAAAACGTGACCATTTTGCTTACTTTAGCCCTTGTTCTTACTTCTTGCAGGACCTACATCTTTTGCACCAATAATTGAGATGGCCATGACAATAGTTGAGCAAACTGGTGGTCAGTACCATGTTTTACTGATAATTGCAGATGGCCAAGTGAGTCCGGTTCCGAACGAGCTAGTCGTTCACCTTCCATATTTGATCTCATTGAAATAAATATCTGAAAAAACTTGGAAACTACTCGTTTTGCGTACTGTTGGTTTGCCTTGTGTCTAAAAGAAAGTTTCCCTTAAGACAGGTCACAAGAAGTGTCGACACAAATAACGGTCAACTAAGTTCACAAGAACGAAACACCGTCGATGCGATTGTTAGAGCAAGGTAAAGATCAAGCCACTCCATCTTTGATTATCAAACTCCTTGTTCTTTAAACACGAGTTTACTTGCAGTGAGTACCCGTTGTCAATAATCTTGGTCGGAGTCGGAGACGGGCCATGGGACATGATGAAGAATTTTGACGACAACATCCCAGCTCGAGCTTTCGATAACTTTCAGGTTTTCAACATTACTACCATGCAGGATAGAAAATTTCACATTTTTTTACATATGCTAACACTATTGGAGCCTCCTTTGTGTATCCAGTTTGTCAATTTCACTGAGATTATGTCGAAAAATGTAAACTCTACCAGAAGGCAGACTGAGTTTGCTCTAGCTGCCTTAATGGAAATACCTTCTCAATATCAGGCTACTCTAGAGCTTGGCCTATTGGGGTATGCATTCATTTTATGCTTTCTTTATCGGCTTACTAATGCTATTTCTAATCTCGTCTCGATGAAGCAGTCGACGACGAGGGAGTTCGCCAGAGAGAGTACCTCTTCCGCCTCCTTTGTACAGCATGACACCGTTCAACGGCTACCCGAGAACCCCACGAGCTAACAGTTTTCAGACTCGAACACCTTCACATGGTAGATATAACCAAGGAGTTGGCACAACTTCATCCACCAGTTCTCATTATGACAACCAGGTTTCTAACCTTAGCCATTAAAGCTATTTTTTGGATCTCTTCTCATCAGGACTATAACGTTTTATGATTGTAAAATGGCTTGGCTTTGCAGATTTGCCCCATTTGTCTCACTAATCCAAAGGACATGGCTTTTGGTTGCGGGCATCAGGTAATATTCAAAGTCTATTGTGAGATCCCATATCGGTTAGGAAGAAGAACGAAACACCCTTTATAAGGGTGTGGAAACTTCTCCTAGTATATGCGTTTCAAAAACCTTCAAGGGAAACTCGAAAGGGAAAGCCCAAAGAGAACAATATCTGCTAGCGGTGGACTTGGGCTGTTACATATGGTATCAGATCCAGCCACTAGGCGATATGCTAGCGAGGAGGCAGAGCCTCGAAGGGGGGTGGACATGAGGTGATGTGCAAGGATGCTGACTCCGAAGGAGGGTGGATTTGACAGGGTCCCACATCGATTGGAGAAAGGAACGAGTGCCAGTGAGGGCGTTGGGCCCTGAAGGGGGGTGGATTGTGAGATCCCATATCGGTTGGGGAGGAGAACGAAATACTCTTTATAAGGGTGTAAAAACCTCTTCTTGGTAGACGCGTTTTAAGAACCTTGAGGGGAAACCCAAAAGGGAAAGCCCAAAGAGGACAATATCTGCTAGCGGTAGACTTGGTCTGTTACACCTATGGTAAATGAAACTCACTTTCCTTGTAGATTCTTCACTGACTCTTCTCCTTCGTATTACGTAGACATGCTGCGACTGTGGAGAAACGCTCGAGTCGTGCCCCATCTGCCGAAGCTCTATTCAGACTAGAATAAGGCTTTATTAAGTCCTGCCGTGGTACCTATGGCTCATTTATTTCATTTTTTGGATCCTTAACTCCTGCAATGGGCCAGGTCTCTCGAAGCGAGGTACAACGGGAAGGTACATAACTGCAGATTACTATATCTTCGTCTTGTTAAATGGCGGTTTCGGTGAACATCAATACTGTTCTACAGGGTGTGTTTGTACATATGGTGGATGTTTTGTTAACCTGCCTCATCACTGACTATACACAACTATACCTGTTTGTAGAAGCTTCAAAGGGAGTTCGTTTTAATCTTATCGTTCAGCTTGGTTCGTTCTTAGAAATCATTTTTACGTGCGTACGTTGTTGTACATATCGGTTTCTGGGTTGTAATAAATCTTCCTGCTTGTTTATCATCAACTAAGCAGACGTTTTTTCTGAAATAAGATTCATCATTGTCATTGAATAGAACTGTTCTTCTCTGATACACGAACTTGTTTAGAGTTACCAGTTTATTTACACTATAGCTCTCCTGGTTTAATTTTTCTTGAAGAATTCATGTTATGAATTATAGATTATACAATGAGGCTAATAGCATAAATGTTTAGCAGATATTGTCTGTTTTGGTCTGTTACTTATTGTTGTCAGTCTCGTGGTTTTAAAACGCGTCTACTAAGAAGAGGTTTCCACACCTTTATAAAAAAAGTTCGTTTCCTTTTTTAACTAATGTGGAATCTCACATGTTCAAACGCTTTGGTATCCTTTTGACGAGCTTAAGAAATTCGTGGCTTACATTTAAAACACCAAAAAAGAAATATCAAACCTTAAACGAGCTTTCTCCTTTACGTGATAGACACTCATCTCAAGCAACTGGTTAGAATACTACTGTAGACCTAATCTACTTAGGGTGACTCACATATGGCAACGACAAAACGAAGAGTCAATCATGCAATGTAACACCCTATGCCCTGGATTTTGAATTCGAATTCGGTATATGATGGCCTCGACATTTTCCTGCAACATGGTCACGTTACTTCTCGCTTCTAAGAGTGAAAACTATCTTGATAAACCAACATGAGTCATGTTCTTATGACTGAGTCACTGAAAGAAAGGTACACCGGGTTGATATATGTAACAACTTTCAATTACATTAAAGTCTTTCTTAGCTATCCTATCATATCTCATTTCTAACGAAAACAAATGTTTGTCAAATCATCTTTGGAATCAACAACTAACACGAAAGTGGGAAGGAAATAACAAATTCTTAATTTTTTTTTAATTAAAAGTCTATGTTGAATTTTTTTAAAAAATAATTATGGACTAATAAATAAAACGTCACTCAATAAATTACGACAATCTTTTTTTATTAAGACTTAGCTTAAATAAATTAAAGTCCCTCAAATTTATTTATTTATTTTTATTATTATTTTATCAATTTCATCCTCTCTTTTAAAATTTTTTAAATTATCCTTAATATATTGAAAGACGTCCATTTTACTCAAGAGGACAAGGTAGAGGCCTTGGAGGGACGAGATTATATTCCCTATCCCCGACCTTGCCTAATTTTCCATCTCGTCCCATTTAATATATATATACATACGCTTTTTTACTATATTAAAAAATAGTTAATTTTAAAAATCTAATTATAATTAAACGACGTAGATTTTTTTTTTTTTAATAATTGTTAAAACTATGTTGTAATATTAAAATTTGAATTTTTAAAAATTAGGTGGTAGGACATTTTATACCGTTTGCTTATGAAATATTATAATTTTTTTTTCCATTTTTTATTAAATATTATATTAAAAAATAACTATTTTTTAAAAAATCAAAAGAAAAATTACCTCCAGAAAACTCGATATCCACAAATTCTCGGTAGCATGCTTCGGTCGCAAAACAGATAATGAAATAGTTACTTCCCTTCATCGTCGTTGTCGTCGTTGTGAACCTCATCAACTCATCATTATTATCATATACCTATTGTCAGTAAGCCGTCAAAGCACGACTTCAACATCCATAGTTCTTATCATACTGTTATGGACTTTGTTCTTAGATTCTTTAAAAGGGTTTAGTATAAAGGAGGTTACGACCCTTTATCAAGCCAACATTATCTACCTATATAGTCCCTCGGTCTCATTCGAACAAGATCACGATTAGGGGACGGTTGGAAACTCCCAAACTGTACCTATAGGACACTCAAAAGGTTCATGCTAGGTTCGTGCATTCCTAAGACTCAACCCTAATTCTACTAACTCGTAAAAGTACTACAACGTGGCTAAAAAAACTCTCTAATAGTTCCTACAGAGTACACACGTAAAACATAGCCACTTCGCTAATGTTGTCGAGGGTCATCGAAACCCTCGACCATCGGACCGAGTTCACAATGTTCTTTTAAACTCCATGAACATTAGTTCTTAATATTCATATTGGTGGTTGCTTGGTGATAAATTTTTATATTACATTAACTAGCAGCTTTTTTTTCCTTTCTCCAAGAACAAACTCGGATGTTTACCAAGAAAGATCCTCTGGATATCGTTGCTCGGCGTCTAAAAAAGCAGCAGCATCTCATTTTCAGATTCAGACTACAAAAAATGGCTCACTCGTTTGGAAAAAGGAGTAAGTTCATCTGTTGGTTAAGTCAACAATTATGATGATTTCATTTTGTTTGATAATCGTTTAAGAACTTCGTCTGGGTTTCTTACGCACTGTATTGCGTGTGTAGGCCATGTATTCATTATGCAATAGCAATGGTGCTGTTATAGCTGGTTTAACGTTTTGACAATGACCGAGCGATGGATTTGCAACGGTAGGTTTAATTGAACTGGTCGTAGTTACTTGACGATCTTGATATTACCTTTCTTGGTCTTTGTTTATTCGTTTTTCTGCCACGGATTTGCTTCGTCTGTGTAGTGATTTCAGGAAAAGTTATAAATACACAGACATTAGTATTGGATTCTATAAACGGCTCTGGATTTCGAGATTTTTTGCAGGTAAAATTGAAGATCCAAGTTCTTCAGACCCTGATTGTTTCGAAGATCATTGATTCATCTCTTCTCTGTTCTTTGCAGGTGATTAGTTGATTTTGTGTGTGCTCCATTTTGCGTTGTACTGAAGGATGAACTCTAAGGAGCCAGGTCAAGGAGAGTTCGATTCAAACAGGAGATATTCAAGAATAGAAGTCAATTACCGATCCGTGAATGAGGTTTAAATCTTTGTCCTGTCTATTGTCTATAATGTTTGATGTCTCACTGCCTGTGCTCTGTCTGTGTTTTTTGTGAAAGGTGTTTAAGAATTAGGATGTTAACTTTCTGGATAGGAGATCAATGAGCTCCTTGCATTTTAATGATTCTTATTGGGCTGTAAATGGAAAGTAGTGGCTTTATTTGTGCTTCATTTTGACTTCCCCATATGAAGTTCACTTGCATAAACTTGTTAAATAGGTACAGGATTGGTGTTAAAGTTATAAATGTTAAGAATCACGAACCTCCATAATGGTATGATATTGTCTACTTTGACTACTTTGAGCATAAGCTCTTGTGGCTTTACTTTTGGTTTTCCCACAAGGTCTCATACCAATGGAGATGTTTTTCTGTACTTATAAACTCATGATCACCCCCTTAATGAACCGATGTGGGACTCCCCTCCCAACAATCCTCTCCTCGAACAAAGGACACCATAGAGCCTCTCTGAGACCTATGGAGCCCTCGAACAACCTCCCCTTAATCGAGACTCGACTTCTTCTCTGGAGCTCTCGAACAAATTACACCATTTGTTTGACACTTGAGTCACTTTATACTAGACCTTCGAGGCTCACAACTTCTTTGTTCGACATTTGAGGATTCTATTGACATGACTAAGTTAAGGCATGACTCTGATACCATGTTAGGAATCACGAACTTCCACAATGGTATGATATTATCCGCTTTGAGCATAAGCTCTCATGGCTTTACTTTTGTTTTTTTCCAAAAAGCCTCTTACCCATGGAGATGTATTTTCTTACTTATAAACTATGATCAACCCCTTAATTAGCCGAAGTAGGACTCCTCTCCCAACTATCCTCAACAATAACAATAAACTCAGGGTTGAATTTGGGATTCTGTATGAATTAGTCTTAGTCTTATGATTGAGTTGAGTATAGGAACTGCGGAACCTTGAGGACTTGATAACAAATAAAATCAGTCATTTGATCATGGAAGATTTATGTACTAGATTTGTTGACTGGTTAACCTTCTGATGATAATAACAAACACCATATTGGCTTCATTTTTGGAGTTGTTAATAATGGTGTTTTACAACAGGTAAAAGCAGCTCTTCGGCGAGCTGGACTAGAGTCCTCTAATCTCATTGTGGGAATTGATTTCACGAAGAGCAATGAGTGGACAGGTCCGTTCTCATCTCATAGTTTCTGGTTGAACACATTTACTACTTATAGTATGCTGATCCCTATTTTGATGTAGGTTCAAGGTCGTTTAATGGTTATAGTTTACACCACATTGGGAATGGGCAGAATCCATATGAACAAGCCATATCTATTATGGGGCAGACCTTATCAGCTTTTGATGAGGGCAACATGATTCCCTGTTATGGATTTGGAGATCGTAATTGCATTTAAAACACTTTCTCCATTCTTACCATACATTTTGTAATAGCCCTAGTCAACCGCTAGCAGATATTGTTCTATTTGGGCTTTCCCTTTCGATTGAAGAAAGGAACGAGTACTGACGAGGACGCTGGGTTCTGAAGGGGGTGGATTATGAGATCCCACATCGGCTGGGGAGGAGAACGAAGTCATTCTTTATAAGGGTGTGGAAACCTCTCTCTAGCATACGCGTTTTAAAAACCTTGAGGAGAAGTCCGAAAGGAAAAGCCAAAGAAGACAATATCTACTTGCGGTAGGCTTGGGCCGTTACATGTTTATTTAATGGGGAATTGACAATTGAACTGCAATCTTTGCAGTAACTACCCATGATCATGATGTTTTTAGCTTTTATGACGATGATAGACCCTGTGACGGATTTGAGGAAGTTTTGCATGGTTATAGAGACATAGTTACCAAGTTACGATTTACAGGTGATTGTTTTCATTTTTCAATTAATGTGAACTGTTACCATATGGCTTACTTTAACCCTTATTCTCACTGCTTGCAGGACCTACATCTTTTGCACCAATAATTGAGATGGCCATGACAATAGTTGAGCAAACTGGTGGTCAGTACCATATTTTGCTGATAATTGCCGACGGGCAAGTGAGTCCGATTTCGAAATAGCAAGTTTTTCTACTCGTTTTGCATACTGTTACATCAGTTGGTTTGCCTTAAAGTATTCATGTCTAAACGAAGTTTCCCTTAAAACAGGTCACAAGAAGTGCTTACACACATAACAGTCAACTAAGTGTACAAGAACAAAAGAGCGTCGATGCGATTGTAAAGGCGAGGTAAATATCAAGCGACTCCATCTTTGATTATCGAACTCTTTGTTCTTTAAACACTAGCATACTTGCAGTGAGTACCCCTTGTCAATAATCTTGGTCAGAGTCGGAGACGGGCCTTGGGACACGATGAAGAATTTTGATGATAACATCCCAGCTCGAGCTTTTGATAATTTTCAGGTTTTCAAATACTACCATGCAGGATAGATATTTCACATTTTTTTTCACCTTCACAACTTCAACACATATGCTGACACTAATGAAGCCTGCTTTGTATATCCAGTTTGTCAATTTCACTGAGATTATGTCAAGAAATGTAGACTTTAACAGAAGGCAGGCTGAATTTGCTCTTGCTGCCTTGATGAAAATACCTTCTCAATTTCAGGCTACTGTAGAGCTTGGCCTGTTGGGGGTATGCATTGATTTTATGTTTTTGTGATTCAACTGCTTTCTTTGTCGACGTTCGAGTTTTGACTGCTATTTCTGATCTCTTCTTGATGAAGCAGTCGACGACGAGGGAGCTCGCCAAAGAGACTTCCTCTTCTTCCTCCTTTGTACATCTACCCAAGATCCCCACGCGCCAACGGTTCACATACCAGAACGCCTTCAAATGGTAGACATAACCAAGGAGTTGGCAACACTCCATCCTCAAGCTCTCCCAACCAGGTGTCTAAAATCTTTCTAGAAATTAATCCTTTTCTTTTTTTGCGGTGGTGGCCTAACCATTGTTTGTTAGGAATCATGACCCTCCACAATGGTATGATATTGCCCACTTTGAGCCTAAGCTCTCATGGTTTTGCATTTGGTTTCCCAAAAGGCCTCATACAAATGAAGATAGTATTTCTTACTTATAACTCATGATCATCCTCTTAATTAGCCAACATGGGACTCCCTCCCAACTGTCCTCAACAATCCTCCTTTCGAATAAAATATACCATAGAACCTCCACTGAGGCCTATAGAGCCCTCGAACAGCCTCCCCTTAACGGAAACTCGATTCCTTTCTTTGAAGCCCTTGAATAAAGTACCCTCTTTGTTCTACAGTTGAGTCACTTTTTAACTACACCTTTGAGGCTCACAACTTCTTTGTTGAACATTTGAGGATTCTATTGACATGACTAAGTTAAGGGCATGACTCTAATACCATGTTAGGAATCACGACCCTCCATAATGGTACGATATTATCCATTTTGAGCATAAACTCTTATGGTTTTGCTTTTAATTTCCCGAAAGGCCTCATACCTATTATAAACCTATGATCATCCTCTTAGCCAACATGGGTCCCCTCCCAGCAATTTTCAACATTGTTTGACCTTCATGTTTCACTTTCATCCCTTCAAGCTATTATTTGGATCTCTTCTAATCAGGACTAACGTTTTATGATTGTAAAATGGCTTGGCCTTGCAGACTTGCCCCATTTGTGTCACTAATCCAAAGGACATGGGTTTTGGTTGTGGGCATCAGGTAAATCCAAAGCCTATAGTAAATGAAACTCACCTTCCTTGCAGATTCTTCACCAATTCTTCTCCATTCTATTGAGTAGACATGTTGCAACTGCGGAGAAACTTTCTACTTGTGCCCCACCTGCCGAGGCCTTAATTGACTCCTGCAATGGACCAGGTCTCCTTAAGCAAGGTACAATGGGAAGGTACGGAACTACGGATTACTGTATTGGTTTCTGGGTTGTTATACATCTTTTGACTTGTTTATTATCAACTAAGCAAACGTTCTTTCCTTCAATAAAATTATCTATCTGGACATTGCACTTTGTTTCTTAAATGTACATTGTTTATACGTATAGGAGACACCTAATCATGTGTATCCACGTAAATGATTTTAGATCCTGGGGGACACATGGCTAGAAGATGGTTTGTGAGCACCAATTAGATAGATTGTGACTGAGGCAAATAGCCAATGGTTCGAGCTCATTAATAGAGCGAGGGAAAAAAAATAAAAAAGAAGACAAAATTGCCCCCATGCAGGATTGAACTACAGACCTTCAGTTTACAAGACTGACGCTCTACCACTGAGCTATAGGGGCTATTTATCTAAATCCAAAACTCCTTTACAAGCAATGGATGGATGATTGTTTGCATTGTGCCCCCATGTAGGATTGAACTACAGACCTTCAGTTTACAAGACTGACGCTCTACCACTGAGCTATAGGGGCTATTTAATCTAAATCCAAAACTCCTTTACAAGCAATGGATGGATGATTGTTTGCTTTGACGCCAACCCGAGCACCAATGAGATTGTGACTGACCCTAATAGGCAATGGTTCGAGCTCGTTAATAGAATGATGAGGTCAATGAAAGGAAGACAAAAAATTGCCCCCATGCAAGATTGAACTACAAACCTTCAGTTTACAAGACTGACGCTCTACCACTGAGCTATAGGGGCTATTTAATCTAAATCCAAAACTCCTTTACAAGCAATGGATGGATGATTGTTTGCTTTGACGCCAACCCGAGCACCAATGAGATTGTGACTGACCCTAATAGCCAATGGTTCGAGCTCGTTAATAGAATGATGAGGTCAATGAAAGGAAGACAAAAAATTGCCCCCATGCAAGATTGAACTACAAACCTTCAGTTTACAAGACTGACGCTCTACCACTGAGCTATAGGGGCTATTTAATCTTAATCCAAAACTCCTTTACAAGCAATGGATGGATGATTGTTTGCTTTGACGCCAACCCGAGCACCAATGAGATTGTGACTGACCCTAATAGCCAATGGTTCGAGCTCGTTAATAGAATGATGAGGTCAATGAAAGGAAGACAAAAAATTGCCCCCATGCAGGATTGAACTACAGACCTTCAGTTTACAAGACTGACGCTCTACCACTGAGCTATAGGGGCTATTTAATCTAAATCCAAAACTCCTTTACAAGCAATGGATGGATGATTGTTTGCTTTGACGCCAACCTGAGCACCAATGAGATTGTGACTGACCCTAATAGCCAATGGTTCGAGCTCGATAATAGAATGATGAGGTCAATGAAGGGAAGACAAAAAATTGCCCCCATGCAGGATTGAACTACAGACCTTTAGTTTACAAGACTAACGCTCTACCACTGAGCTATAGGGGCTATTTAATCTAAATCCAAAACTCTTTTACAAGCAATGGATGGATGATTGTTTGCTTTGACGCCAACCCGAGCACCAATGAGATTGTGACTGACCCTAATAGCCAATGGTTCGAGCTCGTTAATAGAATGATGAGGTCAATGAAAGGAAGACAAAATATTGCCCCCATGCAAGATTGAACTACAAACCTTCAGTTTACAAGACTGACGCTCTACCACTGAGCTATAGGGCCTATTTAATCTAAATCCAAAACTCCTTTACAAGCAATGGATGGATGATTGTTTGCTTTGACGCCAACCCGAGCACCAATGAGATTGTGACTGACCCTAATAGCCAATGGTTCGAGCTCGATAATAGAATGATGAGGTCAATGAAAGGAAGACAAAAAATTGCCCCCATGCAGGATTGAACTACAGACCTTCAGTTTACAAGACTGACGCTCTACCACTGAGCTATAGGGGCTATTTAATCTAAATCCAAAACTCCTTTACAAGCAATGGATGGATGATTGTTTGCTTTGACGCCAACCCGAGCACCAATGAGATTGTGACTGACCCTAATAGCCAATGGTTCGAGCTCGTTAATAGAATGATGAGGTCAATGAAAGGAAGACAAAAAATTGCCCCCATGCAGGATTGAACTACAGACCTTCAATTTACAAGACTGACACTCTACCACTCTACCACTGAGCTATAGGGGCTATTTAATCTAAATCCAAAACTCCTTTACAAGCAATGGATGGATGATTGTTTGCTTTGACGCCAACCCGAGCACCAATGAGATTGTGACTGACCCTAATAGCCAATGGTTCGAGCTCGTTAATAGAATGATGAGGTCAATGAAAGGAAGACAAAAAATTGCCCCCATGCAAGATTGAACTACAAACCTTCAGTTTACAAGACTGACGCTCTACCACTGAGCTATAGGGGCTATTTAATCTAAATCCAAAACTCCTTTACAAGCAATGGATGGATGATTGTTTGCTTTGACGCCAACCCGAGCACCAATGAGATTGTGACGGACCCTAATAGCCAATGGTTCGAGCTCGTTAATAGAATGATGAGGTCAATGAAAGGAAGACAAAAAATTGCCCCCATGCAAGATTGAACTACAAACCTTCAGTTTACAAGACTGACGCTCTACCACTGAGCTATAGGGGCTATTTAATCTAAATCCAAAACTCCTTTACAAGCAATGGATGGATGATTGTTTGCTTTGACGCCAACCCGAGCACCAATGAGATTGTGACTGACCCTAATAGCCAATGGTTCGAGCTCGATAATAGAATGATGAGGTCAATGAAAGGAAGACAAAAAATTGCCCCCATGCAGGATTGAACTACAGACCTTCAGTTTACAAGACTGACGCTCTACCACTGAGCTATAGGGGCTATTTAATCTAAATCCAAAACTCCTTTACAAGCAATGGATGGATGATTGTTTGCTTTGACGCCAACCCGAGCACCAATGAGATTGTGACTGACCCTAATAGCCAATGGTTCGAGCTCGATAATAGAATGATGAGGTCAATGAAAGGAAGACAAAAAATTGCCCCCATGCAGGATTGAACTACAGACCTTCAGTTTACAAGACTGACGCTCTACCACTGAGCTATAGGGACTATATAATCTAAATCTAAAACTCCTTTACAAGCAATGGATGGATGATTGTTTGCCTTGACGCCAACCCGAGCACCAATGAGATTGTGACTGACCCAAATAGCCAATGATTCGAGCTCGTTAATAGAATGATGAGGTCAATGATTGGTATGTTGGGGGCATTATTTGAAGTGCAAACAGGAAATAATAGCTTGGATTTGCATAATATTTCAGGGAAAATAATTAAAAAAGGAAGACAAAAAATTGCCTCCATGCAAGATTGAACTATAACCTTTAGTTTACAAGACTGACGCTCTACCACTGAACTATAGGGGCCATTTGATTTGGGTCCAAAACACCTTTATGAGCAATGGAGGGATGATGGTTTGCTTCAACGAAGCACCAATCAAGTTGTAATCCATGCTTGAGTCGAGATTCGATGTGCAACCCAAATATGCAATGGTTTGAGCTCGTTAATAGTAGTATTGAAATAACCAATGGTCAGAGCTAGTCACTAAAAAAGACTCGAAGAACAAACATTGTAGAGGAGATCTAGATCCAAAGCTCCTTTGCAAGCAAGGGTTGGATTAATGGTTTGCTCCAACGTCAAACTGAGCACCAATCAAATTGTGACCCATGCTCACTAAAAAATAAATTAAAAAATGGAGACAAAATGTGCCCATGCAAGATTGAACTATAGACCTTCCATTTACAAGACTAACACTCTACCACTGAGCTATAGGGGCTATTGATGACTTTTTCTGTCTAAATGTTAAATTTTTTAATTACTATTTACTTACCTCTTAATTAATTTACAATATTTTTTCCTCAGATAAACCTTAGTTTAACCAACCATTTTTTTTAATTTTTTCTTTAAAGTTATTTTTGGACAATCCATTTTTCAATGTTTATTAAAAAACAATTTTATATTATTCATATTTTTTTAAGCACTTTTTTATTTATTATTATTTTTTAAATTACATAAAATCACTCCATAAACTAAAGTAAATACTCTTTAAATTATTAATTTTTCAAACATGCTTATAAAAAAAATGATTTTATTAAAAAAAAAACAGTATTCCACTAACAGAGTTTCTAAGATAATTTTAAGATAATTAATGCGAATTTTGAAAGAAAAAAAAAAACTAAATTTGATTGGCTCAATTAAATTAAATAATTTTTTATATTATTTAATTAAAAACTAAATTAAATAATTTTTTATTTTGTGCTTTCATAAACTTTGCCACCACTAATAAAGGATAATTATTAACCTTATCTTTTAGCATTTTCCCTAGTGGTCCCTAATCTTTGCTTTTCTTCATAGACAAATTTGGCTGTTTTCTAGGGGTGATATGGTAAATTAAAAAAGTATTTATATTACAAAATTTGTCGTATTAATAATATTATCAAGGTAACACGTCCAACTTTATTCATATACTATAGACTATTTAGGTTATTACTTATTCCTAAGTTTATTAGACGCGAAATTAATATTTCAAGGACCTGTTTTACACTTTTGAAAGTTCGAGATCTTATCTAATATAAACAAAGAAAGTGTTTTTTAAATCTTGTCTTATTCCTCTTGCCATTCTTCGGTGGAATTTGGAAAGTAAGATAGAGGCGAGAGGTGGACCCTCGTTTAGAAAAAAGAGATGGGGTTTTGAGTATGTAGTTTTCTTTGTCCACGGGCTTTGTTGGATGATAATTGTATGTGAAGCGTGTTGCACGACTTGTATTCTCCAAACTCGGGATTATGTGGGAGATTACAAAAAAATTATCACAAACGACCCTCTGCATTGGTATGCTATTGTTCTTTTTGGTTTCCCTAAAAGGGTATCACAACCCAATAGTTTGGAATCAACAATAAGAAAAACCCACAAACCGACACTCTTTTTTCAAAATATGTATATATATACTCCTCCAATCGAACAAAGCTAACTATAGAGCTTTCCCTTAAGGTCTTCTTTTTTGGAGCTCTCGAGCAGCCTTTCTTTAGTCAAGACTCAACTCCTCTAGAGCCCTTAAACAAAATACATCATTTGTTCGACACTTGAGACACTTTGACTATACTTTCGAGACTCAACTTCTTTGTGTCAATGCTTGAGAAT